CGATATAGCTATGTTGTAATAACGAGATGCCAGTGTTGTAATTAGGACGTGTTTGTGTCGTTATTACGAGATAGCTATGTTGTAATTACGAGATGCCAGTGTTGTCATTAGGACGTGCTTGTGTCGTTATTACGAGATAGCTATGTTGTTATTACGAGATGCCAGTGTTGTAATCAGGACGTGTTTGTGTCGTTATTATGAGATAGCTATGTTGTAATTACGAGATGCCAGTGTTGTAATTAGGACATGCTTGTGTCGTTATTACGAGATAGCTATGCTGTAATTACGAGATGCCCGTGTTGTAATTAGGACGTGCTTGTGTCGTTAGTATGAGATAGCTATGTTGTAATTACGAGATGCCAGTGTTGTAATTAGGATTTGCTTGCGTCGTTATTACGAGATAGCTATGCTGTAATTACGAGATGCCCGTGTTGTAATTAGGACGTGCTTGTGTCGTTATTACAAGATAGCTATGTTGTAATTACGAGATGCCAGTGTTGTAATTAGGATTTGCTTGCGTCGTTATTACGAGGTAGCTATGTTGTTATTACGAGATGTCAGTGTTGTAATTAGGATTTGCTTGTGTCGTTATTACGAGGTAGCTATGTTGTAATTACGAGATGCCAGTGTTGTCATTAGGACGTGCTTGGGTCTTTATTACGAGATATCTTTGTTGTAATTACGAGATGCCAGAGTTGTAATTAGGACGTGCTTGCGTCGTTATTGCAAAATAGCTATGTTGTAATTACGAGATGCCAGTGTTGTAATTAGGACGTGCTTGTGTCGTTATAACGAGATAGCTATGTTGTAATTACGAGATGTCAGTGTTGTAATTAGGACGTGCTTGTGTCTTTATTACGAGATAGCTATGTTGTAATTACGAGATGCCAGTGTTGTAATTAGGACATGCTTGTGTCGTTATTACGAGATAGCTTTGCTGTAATTACGAGATGCCAGTGTTGTCATTAGGACATGCTTGTGTCGTTATTACGAGCTAGCTTTGCTGTAATTACGAGATGCCAGTGTTATCATTAGGACATGCTTGTGTCGTTATTAGGAGATAGCTATGTTGTAATTACGAGATGCCAGTGTTGTCATTAGGACATGCTTTTGTCGTTATTACGAGATAGCTTTGTTGTAATTACGAGATGCCAGTGTTGTAATTAGGACGTGCTTGTGTCGTTAGTACGAGATAGCTATGTTGTAATTACGAGATGCCAGTGTTGTAATTAGGACATGCTTGTGTCGTTATTACGAGATAGCTATGTTGTAATTACGAGATGCCAGTGTTGTCATTAGGACATGCTTGTGTCGTTATTACGAGATAGCTATGTTGTAATTACGAGATGCCAGTGTTGTCATTAGGACATGCTTTTGTCGTTATTACGAGATAGCTTTGTTGTAATTACGAGATGCCAGTGTTGTAATTAGGACGTGCTTGTGTCGTTAGTACGAGATAGCTATGTTGTAATTACGAGATGCCAGTGTTGTAATTAGGACATGCTTGTGTCGTTATTACGAGATAGCTATGTTGTAATTACGAGATGCCAGTGTTGTCATTAGGACATGCTTGTGTCGTTATTACGAGATAGCTATGTTGTAATTACGAGATGCCAGTGTTGTCATTAGGACATGCTTGTGTCGTTATTACGAGATAGCTACGTTGTAATTACGAGATGCCAGTGTTGTAATTAGCACGTGCTTGTGTCGTTATTACGAGATAGCTATGTTGTAATTACGAGATGACAGTGTTGTCATTAGGACTTGCTTGTGTCGTTATAACGAGATAGTTTTGTTGTAATTACGAGATGTCAGTGTTGTAATTAGCACGTGCTTGTGTCGTCATTACACACATGTATTGTGTCGTTATTACGAGATAGCTATGTTGTCATGACGAGATGCCAGTGTTGTCATTAGGACGTGCTTGTGTCGTTATTACACACATGTATCAATAAAGTCAAGTGACACAGCTGTAGTGGTTTCCATAACACTGAAAACAAAACATTTCGTCCGAATCCGACAAAACTTTCCATACTTCACTGTTCATCGGTATCGATATTGAACACTGAAACTAAATGTACCATTTTAAACTGTATAGATCTATCTCGTATACAGGAAATTCAATAATCCGGATATCTCCGCCCGAAAAGAATCGAAATAGGCTTCCTTACGCTTCGGAATTTCAACCTGATCCGACAAGAACATTTATTCGGATTATCTGATAACAACGGTTTATCGGCTACCTCGATCATTTACAAGTATGTGATTTGATTTATCTCCCTTTTAAATATATTTTTAAATGCATTATTGATTCAATAAGTCGGTTTCTTTTGGTTTCGTTCAACTGTATCAAAATTTAAACAAATTATCAAAGTTTTATTAAATTTTAATGTATATAGCCTCTTATTTTGTAATTGTTTTGGAAACTGTTACACCGTTCAGTACACTTGTAGATCTGAATGGCGTTAAACAGGCACATCAAATTCAATATTCTATATTCTAAGTGGTTATAAACGTCTCTGTCCCGTAGTTATAGAGCAAATTATAAAGGCCATTGACATAATGAAGAATAACTAGTTGTCGGCCTATGACCAGAATTGAGGTCAGTCGACGTGGAAAAGGTAGTGCATGAAAGAACAAGAGTAGTAAAAAAACACCAAGATGTGTATCTTCAAATACCATAGTGAACACACCATATACAGTCATGTAGCGACAGGGATAATAGGCCAACATTTGACCTCTTTGGTGGGTTTTAAAGAAGAATGCATGAATCGTGAATTCAGCCGTCGCGCCACGCACCGGTCGCTTTTTGTGAGATTACGGGGAGAAGACAAATTTCTTACGACTTCATCTCCGATGAGAGACAAATCCAAATGCCGAAAAACGACCACCAGGATTTAAAATAAGTTAAAATTATGGAAATGGATTAAACAAATCTATTGCGTAGAGTTTTATTCAGCATGTTTTGGACTGTAGATGTGATAATATCTATTCAGTGTTTTTGACGTTGAGACTCTAACGAGCAGAATGTTAGGTTATCTTCGTTTTTATTCTTAATAATCATTACTCACATTATGACAACCATAAGTGATGATTAAATGAGAATTTGAGCAAGAGAATCCAATATGATATTTATCTTGACATTAATAGACAAGTTGCCAAACCAGTTTAACTAGTCGATGAATTCCACCCGGTGCCGACATAGCATTCACAGTGTTTGAATTGGATTTAAAAGGCGCTGCCATGTATACAATATGTACTTCAAGGTCAATTCAGTCCGCTTTTTCCTAGGTAGGGACGACTGTAGACGAATCCCCTCGTAATATAAAAAGTCCACAAGTTTTGCTCTGGTTTGTACCACGCGAGCCAAAACTATGTACATGTAATTATTATATGCGTATATTAAATACCTACGGTAAATACCCCGAAATTATGATACGTCCAAAATAGCAGAACAAGGAATGATATGATATGGTAAATGTGAATGATGTTTGCATATTTTTTTTAGTTGAATGTAAATATTGTGTATTGTATGGCGACATATTTAATATTCCAGTTTATTAGGTCGCTCCCAACTTCAAATCTCTCATTGCGTTGATCTCTATTCATTTCCGTAAAAAAACCCACGGATTATGTATATTTTTACCTTGACGCCATTATTACTTATTTCATGACAAGATGGCGGACCCAGAGAAACACAGCTGTGCATAGCTTTCGAGAAAAAATATATCGAACGACTGTAAACATGAAAATAAGTCAAAAATCTCTGCAAACGCTGTGTAGGTTCGGGGAAAAGAATAAACCTTGGCCCGTATTCAGGAAACCGTTATGATGCTCAAGCATGGACTCAGTGTTCAGGGCACCTTTATTTAAACGCACTTGAACCATGTGATACGGTCAAAAAGTCCCGTCTTACCATTCAAAACAATATTCGTGTTGAAGTCTCTTCAATTGTTTTTCCTACTCCTTAACAAAATGTATTTTGTTCTAAATTTATAACTGGAACAAAAAAAAAAAAAAAATGGGCTGGAGCACAGAATCCGAGTTTTAGCATGGGAATGGTAAAGGGCGACTTATATTGGACTTGCAGAGGAATCCCCATTGCGCCATAAACAACATGTCGTAACTTCCGGTCAAGTTGCTAACAATACAACTATTTCCATATCAATAATTCGAAGAACTAATTTGATGAAAACAATAATATTTTTTTTTATAAAACTTATCAAATCAACATTCGGGGCCTGTTTGTTTATGCGGATGTAACACATTTGTAGTTCATGAGTAAAACCTGACGCACCTGCAGATGTTACTGCAGGCCTTGAAACAACGACAAATCATAAGGTTCGTCCCAATTTTATTAAGCGAACAACTCTGATCCAACCGGTCAGACCGTTCCGAATGCGATAAATGAAGTGGCATACATGTATGTGTTTCTAACGTAAGTATATCAACACTATGGATTTTTGTGTTTATTGCACAATGTGGTATAAGAATGTTATATAGGAAACGCTGAGCCGTTTACACTGATGAATTGAATGAGTATTGAAAGTGGAGCAGTGGAAGATTAAGTTAGAAAAGTGTTGAGATTGTCTGGATTATCAAATTCTGATTCTATCTATTTTAGCAAAATTAATTTAAACGAAAAAGAAAAAGAAATCAACAAAAAAAGCGTAAGAGCGACTAATGTTGGGCCCCTGCAGAATCGGGGGTTTTCTGCTATAACTTCATCTCAGGGGTCATTTAAGAAACCAGAATGGATCGTCTGCCCTTATTACAACCCTTGGGATCTTTATCTTTCTTTATCTTTCTGTTCTCACTTCTCTACTCTGTCTCCCTAGTCACCCGTCACAGGTGACCTTAACTGTTTCGAGGACGTTAAACCCCAAACAAACAAAATCGACGAATAAAACGCCATCCGAACTTAGAACATTTACCGTACATTCAGGGTAAGCTATATATATATAAACGGGTACCAGTACTCCCGTATCCTCACTGTCAATTCACAAATGGTTAGTGGGAAACTACACCTAGCCTACTAGTCACTGGATATCCCGACTGTTACATCACAAGTCAGGGGCAGTACTTTCCGTGTCCAGTAGATCTGGACACTACGATGGGCGGAACTGACCCATCTTATAACGTATTATTTCTGTTAATTTTCGGGATATACCTGGCCAATTTTGCAGTTTCCACAGGTAAGTCTGATGATATTATTTTTTATGTGTTTACATGTTAACAGCTGTTCTGCATTTGAAATAGACATATCCTACACATTATGTATAATGCAATGCATATTTATATTTAGTGCAATATCCAGAGACAAGGTGCTGGAAAGGCAGACTAAGCAGGGGGTTCGACACTCACCCCCACCCCCACCCTGGACATTTTTATTTCTTTATTTTTATTATTTATTTATAGTTCATTCAAATATTGTTTATAACACCCAACACTGTACTAAAAATGTATTCCTATAATTCACAGTCATGTTTTCATTCTACAAACAAAATAGCACCCCTTTCCCCCGACCATAATACATTAAAATGATGGCGAGGAGATTTATATTATAGAATTGAAAAAGGAGGCTGTATGCGCAAAGAATTTTCTTTTCATTTCGGTATTATAAAAGAAATGTATTATGTCCCTGCTGAGCCCTTTGACCCTTTCGACTGAATGGTTTCCTAAAGCCCTCGATATATCAATTAATATTCTCAAATATCGAATTAACATTTCACAATTATTGCCATCCAGCGTGCCAGAAAATTAGTCACATTTGAGTTAGTTTCGAATGATGACGAAAATGCATAAACGTGGCGATAATTTTGTTTTCTACGTATGTTTTCAAAAATTAAAATGTCGTGTTATAATAATGAGTGTTGATCATTGTAAAGAAAGATTGACATATATACCTGTATCGTGTGGATTTCACCTGCCGATCAATGAAAGCCAGCAATAGACTCAATAGAAATGTACATGCAGGACGTAACTCGAAACCTCCCCAGTGTACGTGTACTTCCGCTTTAAACATGATATTTAGCTGCAAAGACAATAAACAAATCATAGGTGATTGTACAGTATATATAGGTGATCAGTATACAGTATATATAGTGTATTAGTATACAGTATATATAGGGTATCAGTATACAGTATATATAGGTAATCAGTATACAGTATATATAGG